AACGTTCATTCGGACACGTAAATATATGTACACTCGTGACCAGTCAGCAATGATGAATCCTTAAGACCACAAGAACAAAGTTGCTAGGATATTGTTTTAAATATTTTTATTGTTCAAGACATTTTAAATAAATGTAATCCTACTTCCAATTTTCTTTTCATTAAAATGGTAAGTCACTGCCGAAATATCCAGAACTTTTTCCAGATAAATTCTTAAGGATGTTTTACAAAACCTGTACCATAGAATTAAGTGTGACACACCAACCACAGGAAACTCCCCTTTAGAAAGGCCTTGCACCTAGCAAAGTTGGGAAGAATGCAATAAAGACCTTCCTCAGGCATACATGATACATAACAATAGGCTGTATTCTCTATAGCTCCTAGTAGAACCAGCAGGCTTTGATTTTGAACAGGGGTGACAGAGCAGTGGGGGATGACAAATACAAATTGTCTCTGATACCAGTAGTGACTATTTTAATGGACACTGTTTTCATTTATTCACTTATTCCAAAAAAGGTAAGGAAATTACTTTGATGAGAATAATAATTAAATTCTTTGTCATTCACATATTTCTTAGTCCTAGTACACATGACCTTGGTTTCTATTTAATTTGAACGAAAGCTAGGGAGGTCGTAATTTCGAAAGAGCTGATAATTTTCAGCTTCCTTTTCTGCAAGCTCAATATTAAAAATTTTAAGTAGTCATTTTCTAAGAAATGGAAAACAGTGATTTACAGAAATAAAATCCTGATAAGCTTAAGAATTAGGAGAAATTCAGGCATCATAGGCTTAATCAAGCCAAAAGTTGAACAATTAAGGTAATTTTTTACTGTAATTTAATGTAAGTCCATTATGAACAAAGTGCTTGATATAACCCAAAAGCACTGCAGTCATAAGGGATGAAACATTATACTACTAATAGTCATCCACTTTTTATAGTTTTTTAAATAATACATCTGATATACTAGGGAAACAAGACAAGACAGTTTCACTAAGTTGACATTACAAAAAAAAAAAGCCAAATCCTTCAACACAAAACATAAAACATGTGCTTATAAAGACATAGATAACATTTTCCCAATATTATCAAGTAAAATTATGCTTACTATAAACATTCTTCTATGTCCTGAATTTGTATCATTTTATAATAGGGATATATAGTATATAGATATGTAAGTTAATAAGTAAATATAATGACTATAAAACTTTGTTCATTGTTTCACTATATATATAATATGTACAAAATGAAATAAAGTAAATCAAAGAACACTTTTTTCATTCTGACTAAATCATCGCTTCCATGACAAATCATAAATGTTCCTTATAATAGTAGTCCAAACTATATGATTTTGGAACAGAACAACAAATTCGTATTGCTTCAAGTTACATAAGTTTATTATTTAAAAATTTTTGACAAAAATACTTTTAAAATGCTAAATATAAAATATTGACCATTAGTATTCTTGCTTTCCCTTCCTTTCTTTCTTTCTTCCTTTCTTTCTTTCCTCTTCCTTTATTTCTTTTTTTTCACAATGGCATTACATTACAGCCCAAAACATGTACAAAGAACATTAAAAATGGCCTTTTGCTAACAAATAGATACTTCAAAATAAGATAAAGCTAGTTAACATTAACAAAAAATTTAAGTCTAACTAAATCTTAAAGACAAACTATTACAAAACTACAAAATATACACAAGCAAATTCTATAATACATAGTATGCCCTACTTTAGATGTATAATACATTTTTCTGTGATTAAATAATGCAATTATTTTGCATTTTGAAATTGTGTAGAAAAACATTTTTAAAAGAAAAAGTACTTTAACTCACTAAAAATGAGCATATGGGTGTTATGGTAGCAGTCATGCAAAACATGTTAATGAAACATTTCAAATAAAATGACAAAGGACATATTAACTTTAACATCTGAGATCTGACTAGTAATCATCGTCATCATCATCATCATCATTTCTACTGCTACTGTGAGTCATAATCCATTCCCTGTAGGCCTGAATTTTCTGTGAGCATGGTAAAGGAAAAAAGAAGCACAGTGGTTAGTTAAGTGTGACAGGTTCTTTGGAAAGCATGTAAAGTCATGACATGTTCGAGGAGTCAAAATAATTTGGAAGCAGACACTTCAGCTCTGAGTAGGATAGTCATTATGGGTATAATGTCCCAGATCTTTATAGGCTAAGACTAAACTATTGGTTGTTACATGTAATGTATAAAATAGTTTGGTGATACCAATAGGTATCCTGGGGATAAATTAGAATTACTCCATTTCTCCAGTAGGCAACTTCAATTTACGACCAGGAAGCATTACGATGACGCGCTACTACCTTTTAGATAGAATGGTATACAACAAAAGTGTGTTTTACATTTAATTATTATATAGGGGCAGACAGAATTTAGTGAACACAGAGCACGATTTTTAGAAAATTAGAAAATAAAAGGAGAAACATTTGAAAGTACTAAACATTTTTTAAGGGTACCATTGTTATATCACTTAGATTAAATCTAAGCTGATGAGGTTTTAAATCCTGTTTCTATGTGATCTAGTTCTTTACCACAGTACTCATATGTTTTAAAGTGTTTGCTAGGAATACAGTAGAGTTCTGACTCAAAGCAGCACTGTTACGACCAAGGCCACAACCCAGTTCTTGTATCTGTAAGAAAATAATGCTAACTGCAGACATCCTAAGGCATCTGCTGAATCCCTATAGGTATTCCAGCTAATACTCAGTTTAATGCTCCTGTTGAAAAACAAGTAATGGCTGACAAGAATTGTGTGTGTATAGTCATTTAAATAATTCTTTTAGCAATTAATGCAAAGAATGGCCTACTAAAAATAATGTACGTATTTTAAAAATATATAGTCAAAAGTCATGACCTTTAAATCCCAAAGTACAAAGCTTCAGAAAACAATTAATGAAGGTGTAGAATAAGTTGACTTGCCAATGAAATCAATTTACCAACCATGAGAAATGTTTGGTATCTCATGGCTTTCTTATGCATTATAATCTGTTTTCTGATAATGACAATGTATTTCTAAACTCTCCTTACTATTAATCCTTACTTCCTAGTAAGTCTATTAAAATGTTAGTAACTTCTTCACTGTGTTCTCAAGAGGGAAGGCAGGTACTAAGTAGAAATATATGTTTCATATGTATGAACCACAAGTTAGTTCTGCAACATTTCCACCTTCCAAAGAATGATATACTGGCATTGTAGAGAGTGTACAAAATGCCCTTGAGAGCACAGTCTCTCATTTGATTGCCAGTTCCATCCCCATATGGTATTATTTTGATGCTTTAAAAACATTTTAAACACAGTGTAAAATCACTTTACTAAATATCCCACATTAACTCAATGGTTATGTTTTACTACATTAATGAAAACACATTTTATATAAAATTATATACTCTGCGTGCAGTGAGCAAAATATCAAAGTTTCAAATCTTTGCCCTAACCACCTTAAACTTGACAATATTAAAAATTTCTAGGCTATAGAGGGTCATATTCCCACAGTTCATTATCACCTTGAATATTATCAAGTCTATACAAAATAATGATTCTTTGTTTTCAAAATATAATTTAATATTCCACACCTAAAGCACACAGACTACTTTAAATTGGTATAACCTATCATGGTGAGTATTCCTTGCACCATGACTCAGTTTTTTAGGAAGAAAGTTAACTAAACAGATAAAATACTCTACCTCCAAACTATTGTTCCAAAAGCTAACTTTCCTTACTAAAAAATAGTTGGCTTTCTTGTGAACTACTTATCAAATGCCAAAAGGTTTTTTAAAATTTATCTTTTATTGTTGACAGTATTGCAGACGTCCCCATTTTTTCCCCACTGACC